TTTTATTAGAAATGAGAATGCTGCTGTAAGGCTTTGAATGTGAAGACAACAGTTACTTGAGTTGTTAGCCAGTGAATTAACTTGTAAATTTTTAGTACTTTAATGAAAGAAAACATTAGACTCTTTCATAACCTTGAGACCTCGTTGAATTTCATCTACTTGTTTTACACCTTAAAATTTTCTCTTTGAAATTTATCAGCAGCTAAAAAGATAAGCAACACATCATATATTAATTTTCTGCCTTCCCTTGTGTTAATAGAGTGTTAGGCATAGAGGTAAATGTTGATTCATTCATCCAACTGACATTTACTTAGCATCTACTATATTGCTTTAGCTATGTCTTTCTTTTTTTAATCGATAACATCTTGTAATTTTAATTTGGTGGAATGTAGATAACAGTCAAGAAGTAGGACCAAAAAAGCCAAAATAAATGGTTATTTTTTATGATAATGGTAAAAATACTGTTGCCACTTTACCTTATCATCAGGTGCTACATTTACATAGTACTTTTACCTGCACTATCTAATTTGAACCTTAGGCCAATCGTGTGAATTAGGTGGGGCAGAGGATAGTAACCCTTTTTTATAGATGAGGCGACTGAGGCCAAGATAGATGAAGTGACATGCCCTCAGTTACTTGAAGTGGTAAATCTTGGACTGTTAGAACCCAGATTTTCTGACTCCTTTGTTGAAACAGTAAGATTCTTGTACTGGACTCCTGAAAGAGTCCCACAGAGTGTTTTTATTTAGAATTTAATTTGGATATAGTCTTAATAAATTTTGTTATTTGGTTTCTAACTTACTGACAATGAAAATTGTCAATTTAGAACTGCTTGTTAGTGTGCTGGTCACATTGTCAGCAGCAGTGAGTGATAGACACCAACAAGGGATTGAGAAACACTACGGAGCGTAAATCAGCGCACTGGGCTCTGGGGCCACTTTGTCACGGGGTGGAAAGCCCTGTGCATTTTAATGGATTCCAAGTCTTCACTTTATTACATCATCATATAAAATAATTGCCTTAGAAAGAATTCTTTTGGAAAAATTACGTGCAGTAAATTTCATTAAAAGTGTTTGTCTGCATATAAATTTCGAATCACTATATTGTACACCTGAAACTAATATAATATTGTGTATCAGCTATACTTGAATTAAAAAAGTTTGCTTGCTACATTTGGAAAATTAACAGATATTATGACTTAATTATAATCTTGGGTAAATGAAGCGTTGCTGTGTTAGCCTTGTATTAGTCTAAGATTTATGCTAGTCTAATACTTGTTAATTTTAATATGGTCTCATAGTATACTGCTTATCAATCAGTCAACTGTGACCTTATTTCATTGAAATTCATCACTCTAAATTATTTGCAACAGCTTTTGTTTTTGGCCCTTTTAAGTATCAGAGTCACTGTCTCTAGTACAGAAATGACATCTAGCCCTGACTGTGACAAAGGGCAGAGAGGCAGCCCTTGAAGGTGCTGATCACTAGAGGGGGAGTTAAGAGGTAGTGCACTTGGGATGACCATTGAGACCTAAAAATCTGAAGCAAGCAGACAGGAACCTTTTACAAGGGTAAGAAAAACAAAACTTGTGATCTCTCATTGGCAGATTTGATGCCTTCCCTCCCCCCCCATTCATCCATTTTCTGTCCTCAAAAGGAGCTGTCTTCTTTTCTCCCTTAGGATTTCACTTTTGGCTTGCTTCCCCAGCTGTCTTCATTACCACACAATGCACCTACCGTGAGAGTAACTTTATTTTAATGAGATTTAGTTGATAATTAAATACTGAAAATAAGTAAACATGTTGGGAAATGAGTCTTAGACACATGTGATATGTTTAATTCCTCCATGAATAGGGAAAAATATTTGTTGATAAGTGTAGAAGTGCTTTGCTCTCTTAATGTACAATCGGTGCTTAATTATTCTTCATTCTCCAGGAAGTTCATTAATATGGCACCTTTGAGCCATAGTAGTGTCGTGTAATTAATGTTTATGATGCTGTACTCAGATCCTTACAGGGCTTCCAAATTAAGGAGCAGTTAAACTGTTTGGTGTCTTTTAATGATGAAAATTAGTTCTTTGAAAGCTGGTAATTTTAGATAGGTGAAAACCAGAATATTTGATTTCCGGTAATACCTCTAACCATGCTGCATAATTTATTTTTATGTCTTTCTTAAGTGTTTGAATGGTAAATTAGTAAGAACACACCTGTTTTTAAAAATTTGTCTTTTTATTTCATAAGTCTAAAGTGGAAAAAGATTACAAAACAATACATATGGGTTAATAGTGACATTATTAATAATGTTTAACTATACATTTAAAAACTGGAAAGCTGTAAACAAATGGTACAGAAATAACCTCTGGATAGTAGGATTGTGGGCAATTTTTTCTTTGTGCTTTTCTTACTTTCTAGTTTTTCTGAGATGAAGATATTTTTGTAGGAAGAAAAAGTTAAAAAATATAATAAGAATGCAGTTTGTTTAATTTTCTTATATTAAGACTGTACTTTCTTTTCTGGGTGAATTTGTACTTCATTAGTGTGGAAGTTTTCTGTTGCAGAGGAATGTCTTTATTGCTACATCTCAAAAGCAGTCCTGTCCTACTGAGGGCTCCTTGTTTGTCTGATGAAGGTTGTAGCTAAATAAAACTTACTTTTAAAATCCTTCCTTTTTCTGAGCAGTAGTAGCCTCAAAAAGGCTCTCCCCTTTTGTTGCTCCTACTCCTTTCCTTCAGTCGTTTTTTCATATTTGGACCATAAAACACAACGCATGTAATCTTAGGAAATGTTTATTTCACATAAAAATAAAGCTTTATTGTGAGTATGTGTTTCAATCATTAATTTAGTTGTGTTACTAAAAATCTGAATATGATCGTAGTTAAAAAAATACGCCATTTTGTGGTGAATATAGTTTGGCACTAAAAAATAATTTGTGGCAAGTTGTAAATTACTTGTACAAAACTATTGTAGATCATTTATTTGTAAGAATGGTAAGTTTGTGTTGAATGGATGCGTCTGGGTTCTTTTTAGCTTGCATGGTTTCATATAAATTGTGCGTGAATTCTGTTTCCAGTAGATTGGTTGTCTCATCTGAAATTCTCAGATTAATTTCCTTTTTTAGTAAGACATTTTCTTAAACAGTTAGGTATCTGTTCACAGTGTTCTGTTTACTGAAGTCTTATTTAGAAAGGATAGGAGAAAAGGAAAAAATTATGGGATACTAGAAATCGTTTTTAGAATCATAGTATCTTGTAATACGTCATGTTAGATCCTTGTGAGTTAGCTTTTCTCTTTGAATTTCATTAATTTGAAGTTAATACCTAATTTCCCCACCAAAGCCTAGCTGTATTTAAAACCTGTGCTCATAGTTGATCCCAATGTTAGTTAAATGTATCCGTGAAGTTTTGATTGCTGGCACTTTCATTATTAATCACCACTTTAAAAGAAAGCCATTTTTTTAAACTACAATTTTGTTAACTTAAAAATGAAGGGATTGTACTTGATGAGTTTCTAAGATCCCTTTAAACTGTAAAATGAAGTGAATATGTGATAAACTGTTTTGTTTCTAAGAGGATTTTTAGTGCCTGGTTTCTCAGACCAAATTCTTTCCTCCATGTGCTTGGGGCCATGCAAAGGTAGTTACACTTGTGAACTTCTCTTGAAGATTTGTGAAAGAGGGGGCATTTTTATATTTAAACAAATGTATATTTTGAAGTAAAATTACAAAGAGAGAGAGAGAGAGAGTGTGTGTGTGTGTGTGTGTGTGTGTGTTTAAGCTAAACCAGGCGTATTCAGAGTACTCTTCTCTCTGTTGAAGGCAGCTTGGTCTATACCCTCAGATCCCTGAGGGAATTTACGTGTATTCTGTGTTGTCAGGGCTTCCTGATGTGGGAAAATCTGAGAAACTGCTTTAACGTGTGGACTAGTGTGCCATCCATAAATATTAATTATACAATGATGCTTATTTTAGTTGAGATTGAGGCAAATAGGAATTTAATTCTTTTTTACATCTTTTAGAGGGAAATTTTGGATGTATACAAAAATGGACAAATAGTGTATTGGTCACCCATGGTTACATCATTCAGCTTCAGCAAATATCAGCTCATGCCAATCTTTAGGAATTTAATTTTATGTCTATTTGCTAAGATTTGCCAAGATAAGCATATGTAAGGTCAAGGTACTGACATCAGAAGCATTTCTGAACAAAGATGTTGCAGTTGGTGGGTGGGTACGACTGTGTTCAGCTGTTGTATAAGCTTGCATAAATAGTATCATCGTGACTTTAATCTTTCGGTTGTTCAGAGGTAGTGTGCATATTTCTGTTCAACCCCTGGAAACTTGCCAAAATAATTTGTATCCCCTCCATCCTTGGCACCTTGACTCTAAATAGTCTGTGAATAAAAGCAATGAGTTGATATTAGGAGCCTTTTGGATAGAGCCACTGAGAAGGAAAATCTTCATTTTCAGTTTAAAAAACTTTTGAAGTACTACCTGGTTAATATTTTGGAGACTATAAAATATGTTCAGCTTTTTGTCTGTTTAAAAATACATTTTACAGGCATCAAGAACACAGAGTCACACAGACCTGGGTTCACATTTCAACTGGCCTTAATTACTTACCCTCTCTGAATTTCACTTCTTTCAAATGTAAAATGGGAGCATAGATTGTTGTGTGAATTAAATGAAATAATACATTCAGTATTGATTATCTTAGAATATTATTTGCACTCTGTGATTGAGTAGGAGTATGTCCTGAGTTCAAGTCCTAGATGGGTTCGTGTAACTGGGGTTGAGGAGGTACTGTTAACAATTACTAGGCCACTTAGAAAGGAGAGCTAATCTTTATTTTATTGTTTCTAATTTTCTGACTGGTAGGTGTAAGATGTAAAAGTATAATGAAAGATCTAAAGATAGAAAATGTTTCATTATGTTTGAATAACTATTGTATTGAAACGAAGCATTGGAAAGAATAATGACTCAGTTATTTCTTATCAAATAATTACAGCAAACTCTGGCCTGTTCTATTCTAACTGCACTATTGAGTGAATTTTCAAGTTCAAGTAAAACTAGCAACATTGGACTGAGTATGGAATTCCATGGTAACTGCAAAAGAGTTTTTCAGGTATGTATATTTTTGTTCTTATGTTGTAATCATTAGATTGTTCACTTTTTACTCAATCTGTTCCTAATGGAGTGAGAACACTTATTTTATCCAGTTGAATAATATCCTGTACTTTAAGATTTCTGTTGTGATTTCCTAAGATATAGTAAAGTGATAGGTTTAGTGAAAATAATTGACAATTTAAGATTACTTGTTTAATTCTAGTCTTTAAACAAAGCAAAAAGGAAATACTACTATAAAGATCCTTAGTTTATTTTCTTATTGTGTTTAGATAGAACTAATTCAATTGGTGGGACTCTACTGGCCTTAAAAATAGTCCTGGCAGAATGCCAAAGAGGGCTGTTTTTAAAATGTTATTGCAGATGGTGTGGACTCTTTGTCTCGTATGTATTGTTTGGCTTTAAAGTAAAGTTATATGAAGGCGTTAGTTTAAATCCGACGGCTCTGCACTAAAGCCGCAGACCGCTCCAGCTCTGAAATAGTCGTCAAAGACTCACTTCTCTGCAGAGGAGCATGTATATTACAGGAAATGTATTCAAACTGGTGTCACTTGAAAGCGTACTGTGATCTAAATTATGAGCAGGCCTAAAAATGGAAAATGTTCTTAAAGAAATAGTGTTTTCCACTGGAAAATTTAAGGTTTTTGTTTGTTTTGTTTTATGGTTCTAAAAGGGAAGAACATTTTGAATAATGTTTGCTTTTGATGCAAAACTATTTGTGATTTATTTGGTATAGGAAGAAGATCTTCGTCAAATCTTCGTATTAACTGTTGAAGTTCTGCAGGAGTTCAGCAGGCGGGAGAACCTCAGTGCTCAGATGTCCTCAGTATTCCAGCGTTACCTTGCACTCGCCAATCAAGTCTTGAGCTGGAACTTTCTTCCTCCAAATTATATCCTTTTAACAACTGGAATTCATTTGTGGTAATTTTCATAGATGACTTAATTATGGCTGAAAGTGCTTTCTGTCTGCAGGTTTGTAAAACGTGTTGAAAGAAAATGTGTCTGTTTTAGAAATGGAATTTATTTTGTGTTATACTACAATGCAATGGACTACTTCGAAGATTTAAAATTTCATTTACGATTTTGTAGAAGAGGGTTGAGTAAATGGAAGCATGTGGTAGATAACGAGGCTCTTGCTAACTGAGTGGCAGTATTCCTTAGGAAGGAAAAGGAAAACGGTGGGAGGTGCATATTTATCAAAAAACTGAATCATTTTCTCCTTGTAACATGTAATTACATGGGATTTTTTGACTCACTTTCCTTCAGGCTGCTTTGGTGTTCTCAAATTTGATCTTCAAGGCTGATGATATTGTTTCAAGTGTAGATAATAAGGCATAAATAAGTTTATTCTTTGAAGACTTTTCCCAATGTAAAAATAGGAAAATTTTATTTCTAGCAAATTGTTTATTAGTAATACAAAATAAGTTTGAGTGGGTTATATTATAGATAACATTTTTTTTCATTTACTAAAGTGGAGAAATTTGTATGTTAGAAAGCAGTTCCTTAAAGTTTATGATTTGCTCTTCTAGAACATTTGCTGTCTATTGATAGATTGAAAGCAATAATATATAGTGGCTACCCATTCGCATCATAGTTGAGTCAGACAAGTCTAGGTTCAAGGCTTGGCTGATCTTAGGTGAATTACTTAACCTCTCCGAGTCTCAGTTTTTTCAAATGTAAAATGCGGATATGGATTGTTGAGTGAATTAAGTGAGGCAGTACATTTAAAACACTCAGCAATTAGCTACTATTTATTGAGCTCTTAGTAGTCTCTTTGAATAAAGTTCATCAGCTAGCTAGCTGTTTAGTGCTCTTTTTTTTGGATCTGATATACTCCTTGTGGTATAGGAAATTTAATTTAACCCATTCTGGATGTCTTTAATGAATCCTTTCTTGGGAGCCTGGGAGAGGAGGGCGTCTATTTAGGACGAGAAGAGGGATGGTAGGCACACAGCAAGTAGATATTCAGCTATGTCAGAGATTGAGGATGAGACTCATCCCGTTTCCGACAGTGCCAAGAGCTGCTGCATTCATGTACAGAGATGTTAGCTAATTATCTGTGGCTGGTAAAATTGTGGGACTCTAACGGGGTCGAGTGTAACTTTTACTTCTATTGTCAAGCTAATACTTTAATGTAATAGAAAATTAACTATAAAATGCTGTCTAGGGTAGTGCGTCCCTGACTCAAACCCTGAGTTCTCCAGTTTTCTCTCCCAGAAGCAACCATGGTGAGCTGCGGCTTTGAGGCAAAGCTTACAGTGAGGGTAATCACTTTCTCCTTTTATCCCTAGTCTCGAGTCATCTTTCTCCTGATCAGTTTTATATCTTGAATATCTTCTTGCTTGTTAAGAGGTACATATTTTCTTAGGTTTGCTTCTTAAACAATTTCTCTTTTGAGTGATGCAATGTAATTTTTGCTCCAGTTTTTGTTAGTAAAAAAAAAGATGTTGAAAATCTTTAAGACAGATTTGAAAAGTAACAGGCCGTATGGAGCTATCAAAACATTAATTACATATGTAAGGAAAATCAGTGAAAGTTACACTGCAAATATTGTAGCCAATTTTAAAGTCTCTGTTTTAAGGGAAAATGTAGTTGGCTGAAGAGTGACTATTTTGTAAGAGGAAACAGTGCTCTGGGAGTTTGGAAACAAAGTTTGTCTAAGGATACACAAACAAAATATTTTTATAAAGTATTTAGATAAAGCTTTGGAAAACCTGTCATCTAAAAATGATAAACACTACTACAGTGTTGCCAAAGGAAATAATTCCTTGTTTAAAGAAAAGTGGAGGGGCTGGGCCTGGTGGCATGGTGGTTAAGTTTGCGTGCTCTGCTTCGGTAGCCTGGAGTTCGCTGATTCAGATTCTAGGCCTGCACCTAGCACTGCTCCTGAAGCCATGCTGAAGTGGCATGCCACGTAGAAGAAGTAGAATGACCTACACCTAGGATATACAACTATGTACTGGGGCTTTGGGGAGTGGGGAGAAAAAAGAGGAAGATTGGCAACAGATGTTAGCTCGGGGCCAATCTTCACACACACAAAAAAGAATAAAGAAAAATAGATTTTGATCTTGACTTTATGGCTTATAAATAAGTTCTTATGTTACTGTAGATGTTTATGTAATAGCCACTTGTTGGCTAACTGAACTAGAGTTAAGTATTCCTTTAATTGGATTAGCTTTAAATGTAGGAGAAAGAACATGGCAATGGAATTAAACTGAGCTACATTTTCAGTGCTGATTAAGGAAGTTAGTTTCAAGGAACCCAATTCTGACCAAATTTCTAGTTTTGGCAATTATTTGGAGATCTATTCAGTCAGTGGGGGAGGAATTGAATAATAATTGTTTAGCTTTGTACTTTGAAGAGGATCTTATGATCAAATTTAACTTAGTTAATATATATTAAGCTGCTGTCTTTTTAGAAAATGATTTGTCTTTAGGATAGACAGACAAATAGCAAGTAGACCTTGTAGAAATGTGTATTTTATATCAAATATATTTGATCATGTAGATGGTATCAAGTTAAATTATCAATATTAATCCCTATTCATAATTTTTCGTAATCTGCTTTCTTGTTTGTATCTTTTATTTTGATGTCATTTTATTTTTTATTTTTATTTTTTTTTTTGAGGAAGATTAGCCTTGAGCTAACATCTGCTGCCAGTCCTCCTCTTTTTTTGCTGAGGAAGATGGGCCCTGAGCTAAAATCCCTGCCCATCTTCCTCTACTTTATCCGTGGGACGCCTACCACAGCATGGTTTGACAAGTGGTGTGTAGGTCCGTACCCGGGATCCGAACTGGTGAACCCCAGGCTGCCGAAGCAGAATGTGCGAACTTAACTGCTGTGCCACTGGGCCAGCCCCTTTGATGTCATTTTAAACATCCGGAAATACTACAAGAGTGATTGAAAGAATTGCCATATGCCCTTTACCAAGATTCACTAACTGTTAACATTTTGTCCCATTTATTATTCTCTCTCTCTGTCTCTCAACACATGCACCTATGTATGTGTGTTTGTATATGTATGACTTAAAATACATTTTCTTCCTGAACCATTTGAGAGCAGTTGCAGACATTATGCCTGTTTACTTCTGAATATTTCATCACATGTTTTCCTGTGATGAAGAATTTTGAAATTGCACTGTGATTCTCATAGGAGACTGTCTTCCAAAACCGTAGTACAGTTTTCAAAATCAAGAAATTTAATGTTGATACAATATCGTTACCAAATTATAGTCCATATGCAAATTTTGTCAGTTGTCTCAATTATATGCTTTGTAGCTATTTTCAGTACATTGTATGCAGTTGTCCTAAGTCGTCTTTGATCTAGAACAGTTCTTCAACTTTTCTTTGTCTTTCACAAACCTGACGATTTTGAAGTGTGTAGGTCAATTACTTCTTTAAATGTCCCTCAGTTTGGGTCTCTCTGATGTTTCCTCGTGATTAGATTCAGTTTATTCCCTTTTTTTGTAAGAATACTATAATGGTGACATTGTGTCCTCCTCAGTACTTTATGTCAGACAGCACATAATGTTAATATATCATATTTAGGGGAGTATTCACTTCTATCATTTGGTTAAGGTGGTGTCTGCCAAGTTTCTCCAGTATAAAGTTGCCGTTTCTTTTTGTAATAAGTGATTTCTGGTGTTATACTTTAAGGCTATAAATATCCTGTTCCTTCTAAAAGTTTCAACCATTAGTTTTAGCATCCGTTGGTGATTCTTGCCTGAATCAGTTATTATGATGATAGTTAGAAATTGGTGATTTTCTAATTCCGTCATTTCCCTTTGTGTTTATTTGCTGGCATTCTGCCATGAAGAAGAGATTTTCCCTTCTTCCTCATTTATTTATTTACTTACTTATCTCAATATTGACTCAGGGATTCTTATTCTTTGGAATGGATTATAATCTATTGCTGTCACTATTTATTTTGATGCCCAAATTGTTCTAGCTTTGGTCCCTGCCAACTATCTTCTGTGTCCTTTTGATTTGTCCCACTATTCTAAGTTTTAACTGAAATAAGTAAGGCTTAAATGTTTAGGAATGAATGGTTTATTTTAGATGCTCTATGGAGAGTCCACTCTAATTATTTAAAAGTTTTCTTTTAAATGTTTACAAATTTTAAAAATTGAGCCCCCGAAAGGTAATCTCTGCACAGAAGCACTTTATCTCTGCCTATTCTCAAGGTAATTTTCATTGCAGTGATGATTGGCTATTTTTTATAACAGCTTTATTGAGATGTATTTCACTTAGCACATTATCCAGCCATTGAAAGTATATAGTTCAGTGGTTTTTAGTGCAACGATCCAGACTTGTGCAGCATTACTGTCATTAATTTTAGAACATTTTTATAACCCCGAGAAAGGCCCTGTATCTATTAGCAGTCATTCCCCATTTCCCCCAAACTCCCCAGCCTGTGGCAATCACTAATCTCCTTTCTGTCTCTATGTTATGTACCTACGCTGGACATTTCATATAGATAGAATCATATAATTTGCAGTCTCTTGTGACTGGCTTTGTTACTTATAGCCTCATGTTTTCAAGATGCATCCAGGTTATAGCATGCACCAGCGCTTTATTCCTTTTTATTGCCATTTAATGTTCTTTCGTAAGGATATGTTACGTTTTTATTTATCTGTTGATCTCTTGCTTGACAATTGGGTTGTTTCAACTTTTTGACTATGAATGAATAATGCTGCTGTGAACATTCATGTATAAGTTTTTGTGTGGACTTAACATGTTCATTTCTCTTGGATATACTTAGGAGTAGAATTGCTGGATCATATGGAAACTCTATGTTTAACCTTTTGAGGAACTGCCAAGCTGTTGTCCAAAGTGGCTGTACCATTTTACATTTTCACCAGCATTATATAAGGGTTCCAGTTTCTCCACGT